GCAGTGGCACTAGGTGTAACGAGAGTCGTCAGGCAAAGGCAAGGACATTCATGAGCTGCCGTATAGTCACACTGATTGGGAGAAAGGTTACCAAGAGTCAACTGACTTTCCATTCATTCTCCAGGCATTCTCCACGAAATGGCGCAGGCTCGTAAAGCTGGTGCGTAAATGATGCGGCTCTTATCTCTTGCAAAACTACTTGCTGCAACGCCTGCTGCAAGGCGACCCCACATGCAAGCATATCCAGTCCCGCCTTGCTGCATGCAGAAACACCGTAGACAATTGTTTCCTACTTGTTTGTCTCTAAGTTCCCAACCTTCATGGAGGGATAAAAACATTTCACAACCTCAACAGACTGCGCTATTCATGCTGCCCGAATCCGCTGGCATACAAATAAATACGTTACACACAAAGTGCAAGAGGGAGAACCGTATGTAGTAGACAGATAAGCAACCACCATCGAATCAAAAGCAACGCCTGAAGAACACGGCCGCATTCGTATCGCGGAGACTGAGCACGAAGGCGAACGAAGCGCATTACTTATCTCGACTGAGGATCCGCGATCTAGGTGCAGCTGCAGAGACCTCGCAGCGTTTCATGTTGCCCCTATTACCTGTTAGGGCGGCAGTTACAGCTACTTCGGCAACAGGAGTTCCGTCGCTGCCAGAAATGCATTTCTCTTGGGTTATGGAGTTCTCAAGTTTGTGATTTGGGCTATACTGTTTGCGTTAAACAAAAGCAAAATGTTTCAATACAAGCATTAAGGGGATCCACTTGTAGCCTCCCTCTGAATCCAAGTGCCTTGAAATGTTGCTGATTCCGGGCTTAGCATTCTGCAGGAAGCCGGCAGGTCCCGCATGGGTTGGCCGCATACAAATCACCCAGTTTTGTGCTCCGTTAAATCAGTCACAATGGCAGTCGAGTGCAGATGTTCCCCTCATGCAGTTCCTCGTATGGGGTTTTGGCTTGGGCCTGACCTATTAGGCGATGGGCGGCATGCAGGTCAAGACAAGGAAGCTCCATTGCGCAGTTTTATGTTACACATTATTCTTTCCCCTTTTGAAGGGCTAGTGCATTGGGTCGCTGGCCTGCAACTTACTACTTCGATCTTCTGTAGCTTATCCGAAGGTTGCAACTCAAGCTCCTAGTGTAAAAGGGATCCCAGTACTCCAGCGACCACAGTGATAGCATGGTGTGCATGGAATTTGTACGTGTACGTCTAAATGGGGGCTGGCTGGCTTTGGAGGGTCAATTAATTATTCAACAATTGTTTACACCGGTACTATGTACAGCAAGGAGGGCTCAATTGCACTTAAGTGTGGGATTGTCTTCCAGCACCCGTTGCAACAAGGTGCATTGCAACTCACTTGCCGTCTCATCTCGCACCAGCCCCAGGCCCTTTTGCCGCAGCGCGCATCAGCCTTTAGATTGGAGATATCAGCTGCTCTATGGAAGCCCTTCCCTTCAGCGAGAACCTTCTCTTCAGTATTTTTGAGCAGTTCACAACTGTCCTCGGATAAGAGCAACAGCTCCTCTTATAATAGTTACCTGGTGGGATTGTTGGGTTGCTTGGAAGCAGCCCCAAAAATGCTTGCTTCGCCTCCTGCCTTCTATTCTAGCGAGCGCACATGCTCGGCCCCTGAAGTTCGAGAGGAAACCGTGCCTGCCAGCACTGCGTTGCGGAGCCTTCTGCTGCAGCTCCTNCGGCCCCTGAAGTTCGAGAGGAAACCGTGCCTGCCAGCACTGCGTTGCGGAGCCTTCTGCTGCAGCTCCTCTTTAAATAGAAAGCACCGCATGCCCGCTCACTTCAGCATCTTTGTAATATGTACATCTCCACGCAAATGAACCATATACTCACCTAGTGTGGCCCTACTAAACTTGAATGGCGTTAAGAAACAACAGTGAATATAACTACACTCTGACACATGCGGCCTCATGCATAGTCCGGCGGACGCTTAGGGTGTAAAACGCCCTCCCCAGTGGTGCAGTTGCTCCTTTAGATGCACCTATATAGTGATGCCTCCGGACGAAGTCTACAGGCCATCTCCCCTGCCTACTTAAATGCTGAAAAGCAGCTTCCAACATCTGCTGAACACGCTTGCAGTGCTCTGCGACCGGGGCTACTCCGCTCGCAGCCGGTTTGCTCAACTACGATGATCTATACCTAATCCCGTGAGCAAGTTGACAGTAACTCTGGTGCCTGCGTCTACAGGTGGGGTTGACAAGTTGTTCAAAGGCAAAGGATACTACAAACTCTAGAAGACAACATTGACGAAGGAACTTTTGATGTTGCGCCGCCGCAACATGAGCGTGCCAAGCACAACAGCAACCGCCGATGCGCTTCTGCTCAGCACGTACCCATACAAGGTAAGTGCAGCATGGCCATGCATGCGCACCCACAGGTGCTTGTATGCGGTTGCACTTCATGGCATTTCTACACGTGTGCATGAGCAGTTTCCAGCGGGTCAAAGCGCAGCGCAGCAAGGCTATCATGGAACTCGCCCGGTCAATTGTTGTTACTGCTACTGAATCTGCTAGTTTTTCTGTTGCACGAGGAGCACCACCTACCGATGCTACGGAGTACAATGCGATGTCAACTGCTCTTTCTGGCAGAAGACAGATCTACGGCTACATACATCCAAGATAGCGTGTAAGCAATGAACCAGTGTAGACGCTGTAAGTGAAAGACAGCTGTGCGTGTATGTGCATACGCATGCACTCGAGAGGACAGCAATCTCAGGCGATTGTCCGCCCCTCATAAAGAAGACTGACAAAGACGCTTCCGCGTCTCCTGTGGCAGCATTTGCCGGCGGCCGCTAGCAACAAGCACACGGCCAAAACAGTGTGACACAAGTGAACATTGTAGCACCGGTATTACGGTGCATTTGCTGCTGAAGGTGGTGCTGCTTTGCTCAAAAATCTTCGTCTGTAAGCAGCACCCTCTCCCCCAAGTCTTTGACGACCTGAGGCTCGGGCGGTTCGGGGTCATCATTGACGAGGGAGCGCCTTAAGGACTCAGCCCGCGCGGCAAGCTCGGCTGCTGCTGCAATCTGCGCAAGCTTAGCCCGTTCTTGTGGTGTCTCCCCTGGTGTATTTGCTCCTGCGGACGCTGCAGTACTAAGAGGCTCTCGAACATTGCTGCAGCAGTCGCTCTCGCTGTTTCCCGAGTTGCTACCCCCGTCGCTACTACGGCTGCTCCTGCGGCCCTGCAGACGTAGTAACAAGAACAAAAGTGAAGGCTTAATGGCTTATCCCTAAAGCACCGGAGGAGGGACGAGCGAGAAGCAACAGCGGCAGGAACAACAGCAGCAACGGTAACATCCGCAGTAGTGTAGCTGCCTCCTCACAAGGCTGTTCGCCTCAGAGTCCCTGCAATGGTTCATGTGCAGTAGCTGCTTCTGCAGCAGGGGAGAGTCAAGAGGCATGAGATTTGCCAAACAATCCTGGGGTCGGCCGGATCCCACAGCCGCTGCTGCCGCGAGCCTGCAATGAAAAGTCCATGCAGACGTAATCTTAAAAGTGGAAATAATAACACGTGTAGTGCGTTTAATATTCGCTACTCCTACAGCAGTCATTGCAGTTTAGTGTACACAAAGATGTAGCATGGGATAGCTAAGGCTGCACAGACGCAGAGACAGAGAAGTCCCGACAGGAGACTAAGAACCCCCTACGCACCTGCCTGCTTCCTCGCATCTTACTGCCACTCCCTCTAGCCTTATTTTCCTAAGTCTCTCTTCAATCTCCTCTTCAAGGGGGCGAATGCAGAAGAAACGGGCCTCGAGCAGCAGCTGCTGCAACAGCCAAGGTTGGTTGCTGCAGCAAAGGCATCCATTCCTGAGGAAGTCCAGAACGTACGAGAAGCTGTCTCCATTTCTGTCTATAAATACTTCTCGTGTCTCACCCTGTCTCCAAGGGGGAGACAGACACCGCGAGAGGTAATGCGGGCCAAAGTTCCTCAGAGTTGAATACGTTGTGGCAAATACACGCCCCCCAACGTTGAGCAGAACTTTGCTGCTCAGAGCTTCAGCAGGAAGGGCATTCTGGACACAGCAACATTTCCTCGTGCTGCTGCTGCCGCTTGTGCAGTCGCAGCAACAGCAGCAACAACAACGAGCTCGTCGTCGACCGGCGTTCACACAGGTTGAGGCGGCCTTCTTACCCTTTCGGGCGGAACTCTGAGAGCTGCATTGCTGAAGCTCCTCATAAATATATTGTTGCTGCTTCTGCTGCTGCTGGTGGTCTTCGCAGGCCTGCTCTGCCGTCAATTCGTGGGGTTGCCGCAAGAGCGGCTGTGAGAGCTGCTCCTGCAACACATCGCCCAGCCCCGGCTGCTGTTGCTGCTGCAACCGCGCCTGCGAGTCAAGTTGCTGCCGCGTACAGTGATCCGAGCGCATAGTGAAGGTTCGAAGTTGTTGTTTCAGTTGCTGCCTCCCCTTCTGCTGCTGACCGTGCTACCCAACAAAAGAGAGCCGCTGGGGCACCAAGCTGGCACACGATCCCGATCCCAGGAACGGCTCCAGACCAAAATGACACTGAAGCACCAACAACCACACAAGGTGAGCCCTTATGTCCTTTTGGCTACTCCTCAAGAGACCAAGAGTATTAGAAGCCGCCAATATCACGCTGCGGTGGCGGCGTTGCTGCTGCTCCTGCCGTTCGTAGAGGAGAGGTGCCAAAATCTTCTCCAAGCATCGACAACTGAGAGAAAGAGCGTTTGGATCTGCGAATTCTGTTGCTGCTACTGCTGGCGCTGCACAATGGGCAGAGGCCGGCGAGCAGCAGCGACGGCAGCAGCGACGGCTCACTGCCGTTGCAGAGGTCGCGCTAGTGCACGTCACAGCGAATTTCTGTTACCTCTGGACAGAAAACGTAGAAAACCACAAAATATGCGAGTGAAAGAAGGAGAAGGCCGCTGTCGCTCGTCCCGCAGCTCTTGTCGCTGCTACTGTTGTTTCACGGCGGTTGCTATGATGCTGCGGTCCCAGCCCCGCGAGGCGGCAGCGGATCTGCCCCTGCAACTTCTTTCGGTGGTTATGAGCCACATACATTTAACACAAATGGTCAATAGGAACGACGAAACGTTTCATGAACCAGGGTAGGGAGAAGCCGTGGCAACTGCACCAAAGACCGCTTACCACATCTGGTTCTCTCTAGAGACCGCTGCTGCAGCTGCAGCTGCTGCTGCTTTTGCTGCTGCAGCAACGGCACCAGCTGCTTCCGCTGCAGCCTTCCTGCGAAACAAGGCAACTCAACATTGAAGGCGGGTGCTAATAATTCGTCTTTTGCGTTTTTTGTCCATAAGCCCCCGTGAGGGACCCTGAAGGGTGAAACTCCACAACGGCCGGTGGGGGTCGGCGCCCTCCTCGATACCTGCACATGTGTCTTCCATTTTAGGACTCATGGCTTAGGGTTTATGGTTTACGATTGACCGAACCCCCATCCATCACACCAACAGAAAATGTTGTAGAGCACTAGAAGGCACCGGATGGGCTGCAGACGGACGCCTTCGTACGCTGCTGCTGCAGCAACTGCTGCTGTCCCTAAGACCGCCGCTGCAGCAACAAAAACAGCAGTACGTGTTACGGTAAAGAGGCCCAGCGGCTCCTTCTGACTTCGATAGGATGGTAGATGCATCCTCGTTAGGCGCTGCTGACTACAGCGCCGCCACTGCTTTCTTTAGAGCAGATACNGGATGGTAGATGCATCCTCGTTAGGCGCTGCTGACTACAGCGCCGCCACTGCTTTCTTTAGAGCAGATACAGGAGAGGCACCTTAGCAGTGGTGGCGGCAAGAAGCCAGATTAGACAGAAGCAACTTTAAAATGATCTTTCGTTTGTCCCGAGGGGTTTGCAAGTCAGGCATAGCTCGTTACCAGCGCTTTGAGCTCGGGAGCACTGCACGGCAGCAGCAGCGATGGTCACAGCAGCGACAGCAACAACCGAAGCGGCATCAGCAACAGATGCTGCGGAATGTGCACCGGCAGGACGTATTGATGTCCACCGAAGCTATGCTACTGCTGAACCTGCAGCAGCCCGAAGTTCCAGCGGGGACGTCTATCAGAAGCAGCAGTGGCGGCAGCAGCAGGGGCGAAGGCAGCAGCTGCAGCCGCTCCTGCTACTGTAGCCTCCACCAGGGGCCTGCTGCAGCTTTTCAGGCTGCCTTCAGTCGCCCTCGGCGTTGCAGTGCAGTTCATTTAGAGACGGTATCTTCAGCAGCAATTGGGGGGCGCCTGCTGCAGCGGGCGTCGACGAGTACTGCTGCGGCTGTTTCTGTATTGGACAGCAGCAGCAGTGGCTTATGCAGGTGCTGCGTCAGCTGCAGAAGAGACGGCAGGAAGGTTATTTTTCACGACTTGGCGGTTACCACGAGTCATAGGGGCGTTTCACAGATAACTCACCTCCTAGTGCAGCAGAGGCAGCAGCGGCAGGGGCAGCAACAGCAGCAGGAAGGGAGTTTGTGGTGGGAGGATGCAGATACGGAAGGCCAGATATATGCCTCCGCTACTTCATCCGCTTGTGTTAAACTTTATCGCACATCTGTGCAGGAACAGCAGCAGCAACAGCACCAGCAGAAGG